GTCCAGAAGAGGGGGGAACGACCAGAGAGACGAATTGGAAGCATAAAAACACAATCTTGGGTTGATTTCACAAGGATTGAAGAAGGATTTCAAGATTTCATACAAGAAAACAAGGATTTTCATACGGGTGTATTCTTTATATCTTTTAATTTCATTTTTATTTCTTGATTTAGTAATCATGATTGTAGGCTAGGGTTTTAAATTCATTAGGAGATCGATGAACCTTTGATTACTATTAAATTCTTATATCTCATGAATTCAATATAAAGTTTTGTTTGGATAATATGCTTTATTTATATGTTTTCATTGCATCCATAATTATTGGCCATATATTATGTGAGATTAGATGATTTATTTCTTACATTCGAGAGAAGTGGAATAGATTCGATAAAATATAAATCAACATAGGGTCCGATAGGGGACAGAAATATACCCCTATGCTTTATGCAATTCGTTAATTGTTCATAGAAATTCATGCATTCTTGTATATTTGCATCATCCATAGAAATATAGGCTGGTGGTATACAAGAGTAGGTTTAATATATATCGAGAGAGTATATTGGATAGGTTTAGGAACATTGAATTGACATTTTTCCATCGATTCATTGAATTTGTGAAATTAGGGTTTTTGGTAATCAATTGGGGATTCGAGATCCTAATGATTCTATTTCAATTTATTTCTATACATTAACTTCCAAAATTGCATATTTACATTTTAATTGAGTTGTTGAGTCATTTAATTAGGGGAATTTCGAAATTAGGGTTTTCTTCAAAAATTAGGGTTTCAAATTGGGGGTTTCTCCCAAAATTAGGGCTTTTAACACTTAGACCAAATTTTCATTCAATTGGATTCGGTTAAGATCACATTAGTTTAATTAGAGCTAATTCAATCCTTGTGGGAACGATACTTGGACTCATAGTCCATTTTACTACTTGTTAACGAACCGTACACTTGCGGTGGGTTTTAAAATTAAAAGAAATGTTTCGTGAACAATGTATTATTATTCAACATTTTGTTTGTATAATTTTATGATGAGCTGAGTATTATGGACACTAGGATAATGAAGAACCTCATATTTTGAAATTTAATGTTAATTTCAAGTTTTGATGTTAAATATTTGTTTGGCTTAATGGCTGTTATGATATTAATTCTTTCAATTACTTGATCAATAATTGAATATGTTTTTATTTTATTTTTTAGTTTGAGAGAGAATAGAAAATTTAGCACGTTGTAGCAATCATTGTAAAGTCAAATAGTAAATGAGAATATATCATCAAGCGTTGCATGATCTTGTTGTGAATGTTCCTGTGACTTTAATTTATTTTTATATAGTTACACCCTTCGTAAAGATATAGTTGGGTCGTATGTGAAAATTTTTAATATTACTCAAGAGAGATTATTTAAGAAATATTAATCATCAAGTTTGAACAAGTATTGTCTATTACTTTATCTAATATTAAAGTGAAGGAATACAAGGGGTTTGAGGTCGTGGTTTTAATTATTTGAGTTTTCATCAAAACTTGATGGTTTATTTAAGTCTTATCTTTGGTTAGTTGTTGAATTTGAATTGCAATTACCCACATTTATAAAAAAAATTGTGTTCTTTCGATTAAAGTTAATATTAATCGAAATCTGACTGAATTCGAAATCCTTGCAAAAATTATCTTTTATTCACAGTTTATTACTTATTTACGATACCATATACTTTTAGGATTTTAGCGAGTTGTAAACGTATGATGCCTGGGCTTACATTTGGCAACAGTCTTGAAGTCATCTTCAAATCGACTTGTGGGGAATTTCAATAACCGCAATGAAATCTTCTCCTGGAAAATGACAAGAAGTTTTCACTTGTGGGTGATACAACAATTCTTGCTCAAACATTTCTATAATTATCACAATGTAGGAAATTTACTTCTTCCAATAAAGGTGAACTAACTTCTTTCTTATCCAAATAGTAGCCCTCAATACCTTCAAGCCCTCCCATACATGCAATATTTTGTTCGATCAATTCCTTTTGTCTATCACAAAAGAATGAAGAGATAGAAGATGCTAAAGCAAGATTATCAAGACAATGGGATGAAGAGCTTGTGCATTCAAGTTCAAATTGGTCGATCAGGGTTGAATGAACTTTCGGCTCAAAAGGAGCGGTTAAATTTAAATGGAATGAGATTTGCCATGAGAGTTATTGACATAAATAAGATTGGTAGATCGAGCTTTCTCAAAGTCTTCCGCATAATCATTAATAGCTAACCTTAAATTTCTTCCAATTTTAACCCATGGTTTTGCAAATATTCCTTTAAGCTACTTTTGAATTTACGAAAAAAAAAGTTAAAGAGTTGTAAATGGATAGAGGACGAATTATTTTCAGATTTTGGTTTTCAAAAGATATTGTATTTGGGTCAATTGTCCCACTGTGTGGGGACGATGAGTTGGGGCTGATTTTTGTTGGTGCATTTGTGAATTCCAATGAAATTGAATTCTGTGCGGAGACCGAATTGAGCTTGATTAATTGTAAGGTTAGTTTTGGGCTAAAAGGTTTGGCCCAATTAATTTATGGGTATGGCTTGAATTATCAAGGGAAAAATTCATATTTCAGGTGTATTCTTTACATCATTTCAAAAATCAGGTAAAAAGTTTGAAAATTCAAAATTCAGGTTTGTATTTAATTAATTAAAAATATTTATTAAATAAATATATTAAAGTCACAATTAAATAATTAATGGTCACAGATTTATTTACTGGTCACATATCATCAAATTAATTGGTCATAAGTTTATTTACTGGTCACATATAAAAAGTTTTATAGGTTACAAATAATTTCGAGGTCACGGATCAAAAATTTTAGAAGTCACAGATTTTTTTTAGTCACGAATTATCAAATTTCAAGGTCACAGACCAAATCGTTGAGATCACAGATTATCAAATTTTAAGGTCACATGCCAAATCGTTGGTCACATATACCAAATACTCCATTGCCGAACCCAATCCATCACCAATGATTGGTCACAGAGCAACCAAATGGTCACCACCACCACCAACAATGTCGCCACCACTAGATCCAACACATTGCCAACAAAAATACCACAACTACCACTATCAGATCCATACACACAAATCAGCACAAATACACCACAAATCGGCCACCTCCACCACCTGCGCCAGCGACCGTCGTCACTGCCGTAGCCACAATAATAATCCTAAAACCACCAAAAACATAAAATCGCTACAGCCTCAATCTGTGCCATCCCATGCCGCTACAGCCATCACGCACAGCACCGCGCCGAGATCTTCATTCCCCCCTCCCAGAACCGCACACCTCCACTACCACCGCAATCACAAAACTAGGACACCATCACAATGCCCCGCTCCACCTTCCCCGATGGCGCCATGCAAGGCACTGATCAATCGGCTAGAATAGAGAGCGTATGGGTAGGGAGAGGGATAAAGATGGAATGGAGAGAGGGAGGTAGAAGGGAGAGAGATCTAGGGTTTGCTATATGGGAGTTGAAATCGGCTTCTATTGTGTTTTAATTTAATATTTAAATATATAATAATTAAATTGAAACCTGAGATTTGCATAAACAACTTTGGAAGCTGACTCTTGCACTGGGATCTCCAAATACTTGGGATTCTGTAATTTCCTCAATTATCAATGGGAATGGTTGGGGTGAACTAGGCCCATCTTATCAAGAAAAATAATTGGATCAGATTCAATGTAGTCGTCTCAATGTTACTATATAGGAACTAGGAAGTTGCAAGAAGGCAACTCGATCTAATTTTAAAATAGTAATTTTTTTTAATGGATGGTATTAATGGCTCATTTGATATGACTTCTGCTTTTACTTCTGTTTTCGCTTCCTATAGAATGACTTCGAGAGAAAATTACCTGAATTTTTGTTTGGAAAACCAATTTTTAAAAGCACATTCTATTCCAGAAGTGCTTTAAGAGGATGACACATTGCAACAGCTTTAACATCTCTTCTAACTTGAAGTATTTTCATAAACTTGATCAAACGGATCCAAAAATCAATCTTGGATCTCAAAAACTCTTTGTATTTTTAAAAGCTATGACAAATGGACCTTAAAGCACGAGAGCATACTCTTTATAAAGGAAGGGGATTTCTCTTCTTTAACATACACGTTTAAGTCAAACTTTTGGCTTGCTACAAGCTGGGCTCAAGGATTGCAGTTTGTCCGGACCTAATAATTGGATTTTTAATAAAGGAAATTAGGCACAATAATGCTTTTATATTTAAAAGGTCAAAAATAGGCTTTTGGAAAATAATTATAAAAATCAGGTAACACTTGACAAATCCTAAAATTTCTTCCCCCTCCCACCTTCTCTCTCTCTCTCTCTCTCTATAAAAATGACTGCACGATTAACATATAGATAAGAGATGTTAGGAATAACAATATTACATGTGCAATTACCTCAATAAATGTGTGATTGAATGTATTATTATCTAGATAATCGTATAATTGAATACGTTCTACTCATTAAAATTCAAACTATAAATAAGATTGAATTGTGTTTAAAATAGAATTAATTTATCTTGAAAAGGAGAGTTAATTACAAAAAGAATATAGATTGTCAAAAATGTAAGAATGAAACAAATTACATAATTGAGAATTGGGAATAGGATAATAATATGTGGATTTAAAATTCCAACACATTCATCCCATATTTAGTTTAAATAATTTAAGTTAATTAGTAGTTTAATTTAGATATATAATCAAACACTCCCTTTTGTTACATAGATTCAAAATGAATAACGAATTGATAATATTAAATTTAAGGTTTGATCTCGGTAAGACGATACTCTTAACTAATTGACCTAGATATATAATTAAACACTCCCTTTTGTCAACAATTTTATACGTTTACGAGATGGAAGCTGCAATTTTCCCTTAGAATAAAGTCAATGTAACTCTTCTACTACCATATACAAAATTGGAAGGTTTTGCTGTCAAATAACAATATTAGTAAGGATCTTACAAGTTACTACTTATTCGCTTTGTCACTCTTAAAATAGAAACTATAATATAAGGACGTCATTTGTTGTTGAGTTCACTTGCACTAAGTTTTACCAATGATCAAACTGTGCCACGCGTTTTATGCAACATGGTTTAACCGCAAGTGTACGATGTCAAGTTTCGTAATATAGTGATATAATTGAATTGTTGAACCCACAGAGATTGTTGTTTGATTCCTATCAAATACTATAATTATTTTAACTTCCACTTTATTTAGAAAACCAATTTTTGACTTAAGTTTATGCTAAATTAATATGTTGTAAATAAAATGGCAATTAAAATAACTTAAGATGAAATATATAAAAATAATCAATGCAAGGAGGTCTAGGGAATGATTTTACCACCCTATCAACAATATCTTTCAATCTTAATGGTTAATTTTCTAAATTATTCTCAATTTATAGGCGAGAACCATAAATTAATCCCATTCCCTCTCTCGAGTGCCGAACAGAATTTATTTATATACTCTAATCCCAATATCTTTATTCCGGATTAGATCAATAAAAATTATCAAGCCCTTAGTTCTTAATTGGAATTAAGCCTCAAAGAATTCATGCTTTCTCTCGAAATCCACGAAATCTAAGTTGTGTTATTCGTAGATCAAGATCAAATCTCCCTCTCTCGAGTGCCAAAATTCAATACATCAATTCATTCAACCATTGATCAGGTGATTGAAAGCAACAAGCATGAATAACACAAATAAATACCGAAAAATTAAGGAAATATTGTATCAATATCCAAAAATAGTATCAAGTTAGGTTACATCAACCCTAGATCTAAGAATTTAGTTCATGATTGATGGAAATGATATTCTGAATTACAGATAAACAAGCATGGAGAAGAAGAGATTAGAAAAAAAAAACTCAGACGATGCTTTGAATCTTCTTACAATGATTGTACATCTTCCTCCTTAAATTTCTTGATCTCTCGTTTTTGCGTTGAGTTATCTTTTTCAATGCCAGAAAAATTCCCTTTTCTGATCTTTTTTGTGGTATTTATCTTTCCCAAAAGTTACAAGATGAGAGGATTCAAATCTGGGCCAAGAAAGTGTACTTTCCTATTTTTGCGTCGGGTGCCGCGCGACTTTTTTTATTGTTGGCCCCGCGGCGCCTGCCTTGCTGAATCTGTTTCTACGTTGGGCGCCACGGCGCCCAACTTTCTATTGATTTTTTCCCTTTTCC